TCTCCCTTTTGTTCAAGTGAAATCAGCTTGCAAACGTTTGGTTTGGACTGTTCTTTAAGAGAAAATCTCTGCGTTTATTTAACTGACGATGGCGACGATAGGCGTTACAGGAACCTTAGATTACATAGTACTCGCAACGACCAACATTACAATATATGAACGAAGAAATCGAATAGGATATTAAGGAATTCTTTGGTGAACATTTGTTGCGATTGGTAAATACTGTTTGAAGCTTCTACCATTAAAATGATTGAAAAAAAAAGACATCAAAATGGGTAATTTCGTTTTGTCATAACATAAAATTAATTTATGTGCTAAACGGCATTGTTCTAAAGTTAAAAAAAAGAACTTCATTAAAATCCGCCCCTAGTTATAAGCGATGTATCGCCTGTGTACAAACTGTTACAAACATTTTGTTCAAGGTACAGGTTCATATTTGAAGAGCAGTATGCCAAATGTTATTTATAATCCAATTTAAACAGAGGCACTTGATGGTCACGAGCTGAAAGGAGAGGGGGGGGGGCTGTCATCGAATCGGGAGCTCCAATACCAACAAGAAGTCTCTCGAAGCTCCGATTGGGTGATAGTTTCCCTCTCCGTCCAGCTCATGACCTCGAAGGTTCACTAAATACAATCACTTTTCAGTTATTTTATTGGATTTTACCTGGATGGGCAATATCATAATGAGAACCAAGTTGATCATAACTGAGCGATCAGGGCTTGCTGCTGTGGCCTCGTGCATATTTACTGGTATTACTTACATACAGCTGCCTCTGACAGGTCATCAACTGTTGCAATGTCATCCAATCGGGATCTTACACGGTTTACAATGACGTTCAATCATCCGATTGGATGATACCGTAACAGCTGATTGACGTTAGCTCCAAATACATTCAATTATACCACAGGAGTGTGGCAACACTGCGTCCTCCCAGTACCAGCTGTCAGTAAGCTGTTAAGAAATTTTAATCGGACTGTACAGGAACTCTGCTCGTAATGTCCAATACACGTACCATGTAGCCATGATGGACAGAACATATAAAGAACAATATATTAACACTAGAACCACCACTAGCAAGTTTCATACCTGTAACCTTACAAATCCGATAAAACCTTACAAATCATAACAAAGTTTTTAAACAAGAAATTACAAAGAATGGGATGAACATAATAATAACTTACTTCATTTATACCATATTTCACTATGCTGTTTATTAGCACATACATCATTTTACTGTTACTTTTCTCTTGCTCATCTGTTTACAGTCTCAGTAATTTTAGATATATTATTGTGCTTCTTCTGCTATCATTCTATTTACATCAATACAAGTTTCTAACATCACCACTTATTTTATGCTGGGTCTTTTTTTTTTTTTTTGCATTTATTGCAAAGTACAATTGTTTTGCATTATCACTTTTCATTTGCCTCTGTTGTCTTAATAAATCTGCTATAGGTTCTTGAAATTATTACAAATTTAACAGTTTTCAACCATTCTTATCTGATGATCTTATATCAAAATGAAGAAACCTCAGGATTTATCAAACTTATTTCTTGCTTCTAGAGCAATCCCTGTACATATAATGAAATTAATGCATTTAATTTTTCCTAACTCAATTTCTATTCAATCACCATTCTGGTTTGTTTCATTGCATTTCTTTTTATGATTTAGCATTGATTTATCTACAAAATGGAGCTATTCACTTGATATTTTAAGAAAAATATCTGTAGGAATTTTTGGTAGGACCTTCTCTACTTTTCAAAATATTCTGTGGAGCTAACCTACAAAATCCTTGTTTGCCTAGGATTTTTGTCCACCAGCTTAGCTTAGTGGTCGAGATGACCACTTGGCAGTAACTCTGAAACTAATTGGTTGAATATAACATTACTGTAATGTCTGTGTTAAAAATGTATAAGGAGTTAAAATCACTCTAGCGGCGGCTCTAGTGTTAATCACATTTCTCTGCTATTCCAAGAAAGGAAGATAAATGTGTCATAAAGTGTCTAAAAGCTTTTGGCCAGTGCTGCTCATACTTTAAAGTGTCTTAAACAAAAAGATATAACTAGTTTTAGTTACATAACTTTTTCTAAAGAATTTCATAAAATAATAAAATTATCCAATAACTATGCAGCTCTCATTACAGAAATGACAGTGAATGAGTATACATATGAGTTACTCTTTTAAAAACTCTCCAGGTATCATTCTGCACCAAAACTAGTGTGTATTGGCAATCCACAATGATAAATTGTAGATGATCTATGTGATAAGTATATAGTTTCCTGTTGAAATCCTGTTAGTGATTTTATTTCTTCAAGTGAACTGCATGCATTGGCTTGTGTTACTTTGAGAAATAAGTCACTACCTTGTATTTCTATGACGAACAGCATAGCTTCCAAACACTTCTCCAGCGAACATAATACCTATCTACCTTTGTTTCTCCATTATTGCTAAGTGACTGCTTGTGTATATACAGAGTTAGATTCCAGGTGATTTGGTTTATTTGGTTAGTACATTTCTTTGTGATGTGCACAAGTTAGATATTGCTGAAAGTAGAATTTCTATGATTCTCTGCAGGCCACTAGTGTGGCTGCTGCGAGCCCCTTGGTTGGGGAGGCCCCGTGGGTGGGATGACCTCGGTCTACTGAAAGGCGAGTGGCCTCTGCAATTGTCAACTCTAGGCACTTGTCCCCTTATTCTTGCAGCTCTGATATATACAACAGTTTGATTAAAAATGAATTCACCGCTAAAGCTTTCTGTGAGCAGAAAAGGTAAACATTTTAAAAATAATTAATTTCAAAGTGCAAAGTACTTCACAAAAATGTGAAATCACTGAATTGTTTTCAGATTTTCAAAAGTAGGGAGGATTTCCTTCAATATTGAAATTGTGTGTGTGTGTGTGTGTGTGTGTGTGTGTGGTGTGTGTGTGTGTGTGTGTGGGGGGGTGTTTGGGTGTGTGTGTGGGTGTGTGGGTGTTTGGGTGTGTGCGTGCAGGTGTTGGTGTGTGTGTGCGTGTGTGTGTGTGTGTGTGTTAAAAACTAAAAAAAAAAAAAAATTGCATTTCCATTTTTTAAAATCTATGTAATGTGCATAGTAAGATTCAGCAGCTGATTTTGCTTGTTATGCTTCAAATCCAGTCATTCAAAATGTGCAAGAAATTTTCCAGTTCGCAAACTTAGTTAAGAATTGAAGAGAAAATAATCGGAACTAAACAAACGTAATAAACCTGTGTATTTTGAGTCATTTTTTTGAAGTCTTACGTGAGTTATACACTCTATTTTTGTCATTTTGTTTTGACACTACTGTTTGCAGGACTGAACGTGCTTGAACAAAGTACATATAAAACAGAATTTCATGCTTTCTTTACACTTCCAGGGAACATCCTGGTAGTGATGAATATATTTTCGATAACTTTCTGTGGAACCAATTTGCAAATTTGATATTTTATTCATTGTGAAAATAAGTGATAAAACAGTGTAATGAGTAGGAAATGCAATGTGAATGAGGAAATTTATTCCATAGATAAGCTAATATTCTTAAGTTTTCTGCAGATCATTTTCATTGCTTAGGAGAATTTTATCATCATTTTATCAATTATATCAACATTGTTTTTATTTTGCTGTCATAGCCAGATATACTTCCATTTGGGAATTTAATGGAATTTTGTGAAATTCTTCTTGTGTGGTTTCTTTTGTTTTTTATATATTTATTTTCATGTAGAATTTGGTTAGACATGTCGATGTCTTGACATTTCACAATCTTTTTTTCTGATTCTTCTTTTTGCCTTAGTAATAGTTGTATTCCTTTTTTTGTATTAAAATTTGTTTTGGTCTCACTGTTTTGTTCTTCCATACATTTCTCTTTAAACACCAAAACTTGTCACTATTGAATTTTGATTTTTTGTGATTCTACTATCATGTTCATAGCGTCATCGTGTGGGGTATATAGTGGCAAACAAAACATTTCGCATTAAGACACCTGAACATTTTTGTGAGCGAGTATTTATTTATTTATTTATTTATTTATTTATTTAGTTAGTGGCAATCAAAATATATATCAAGTGTGAATTAATTTACAGTGAAGTAAATGTTAATGATTTATAATCTAAAATCACAGAGGTGAGAATAAATTATTTTAAATTTGGAGACTGTGCTGGCTGAGATGAGCTGTTAGGAAGGTTATTCCAGTAATTAACTTTGCGGTTCACGATGTTGATATGTTTGAATTTAGCCTTCCATAGCTTCATGTTGTGTCCTCTAAGGTTGCGGGCAATGGTGTATTCCAAATTTTCATAGAGGCCATGAAGTATTTGTAGGTTTCAAATAATGCCAGTTTGGTCTCTCTTAAAAGATAAAATTGGTATGTCCATTTCATGTAGTCGTTCTTCATAAAATAAATTTCTAAGAGGTTGTAAAAGTTTTGTGGCTCTAAATTGGACTCCCTCCAAATCGTTTTTTAAGTAAGGATTCCAAACGCTAGAGCCATATTCTGGTATTGCTAAAACATACGTAGTGTTTAGTGTTTTTAGAGAATCCTTGCTGAGGTATTGAAAAGCCGTGCATTCCATAAATTTTGCTTTGTTAGCTTTATTGACTAAATGGTTGATACGAGCTTCTGATTTTAAGCCATCCTGTATTATAATCCCCAGATCTTTGGCCCACGATGATGTCTGAATGATATGGCCATTAATGTTTTACCGGTGACATGGATAATTTTTATTAATGTGTTGTATTGTACAGTAGGACTCAATATCTGGGATCAGCCATTTCTTCGTCAATTTGAAGACATTATCGATGTTGATTTGTAAGTAATGGGAGTTTTCAAGTGGATTGTCATATATTTTGGTGTCATTGGCATACATGGAGAAAGTGTTGTGTTGTGTGTGATGTCACAATTGTAAAGAATAAACAGTAGTGGTCTGAGGAGTAATCCTTAAGGGGATTCTGTTGGTAATGAGATAAAGGGATGATACATAAGATCCAATCTTGGCTTGAAATTTTTCAGTCAAAAAGTCCAGGTAGATGACATTAGTTGGTTTGCTGTCAAGGTTTCTAATCCAAGTTTGTGTACAAGACAGCAAGTTGGTGGTGGTGTATCTGTTTGGGACAAATCCATGTTGTTCTGGTGGTATGAGACCTTTGTGCTGGGCAAAGTCTATCAGTTTTACAGGAAGACACTCCACAACAACAGCACAGGTTTTCAAGTGTATAGAAGGGATAGCATCCAGGCCTGGTAAAGTGTTATAATCTTGAAAGGGAAAGTATGCTGGGAAAGTATTTTGTATATGCCATCTGTTTGGAAATCCATGTTTTCAAGGAGATTGATAGTTGATTCGTTGTGTAGAGCTGATAGGTGCCGTCTGGATCAATTGTGTTGAATTTCAGAAATTCCGTAGAAAACTGTTCAGTGATTAAAATTGGGTCCAAGAAAACGGTGTGGGTGCTAGAACAAAGAGCTTGTGGGTATTCAACACTCTGCAGGTCCCCCCCCCCCTCAAATTTTTTCCTCCAATTTTGAAATAATGGAAGGTAATGCAAGAAATATTAGAGTATTAAAAAGAACAAATTTGAGACATAGAGAGGATTGAATCAAGGGAAGTCATGTTTACTGAAGATTTTGTTTTGTTCTGTTTTAGGAACATGAGTCGGAAGGGGGCAGGACCCCACTGATGAAAGCCTGTCGTGCGGGTCATCTCTGCACTGTTCAGTTCTTAATATCTAAAAGGGCAGATGTCAACCGACAGACCACCAATAATGACCACACTCCCCTGTCTCTGGCGTGCGCTGGGGGCCATTTGGCTGTGGTGGAGTTATTGTTAGCCCAGTCTGCTGATCCATTCCACAAGCTGAAGGTAACTGAAAATGAGAGCATAGGCTTCCGCTGCTGGAGTCTGTATTTACTAGGCTCACCGGGTGACACCCGGACAGCCTAGTAAATATTAACTGAAAATGGATGTTTAAATCGTCTTTGTTGTTGTTTGCTGGAACTGTGATAAAGAACCAATATTTTTTTAGGACAATTCAACCATGTTGATTGAAGCAGCCAAAGGTGGTCACACAAATGTTGTCCAACTGTTGCTTGACTACCCACATTCAATCATGATGACTACTCCCCACCCACATGGTGTGGCAGGGGCTCAACCCGCCCAGGCGACTGCTGGTGTGTCAAGTACTGCCGGCTTGCATGAGGTCCCTGAAGCAGTGCGTGTGGTGCCACAAGAAGATTTGCAAGTGACCTCTGGCCAAGCAGCTGGACCAGCAAAATCAACTGGCAGCCAAGCTGGTAAGCTTGATTGGATTTTGATTTTGTGTCTTAAATTAGGAAGCGATATTGAATGTTAATCGTTCACTTTTGTATGTAGTACTCTTGTTGTTTCATGATTTTCTTAGATGCAGGGGGAATTTTGATAATTGAGAGGCTCACTAGAACAAGGGGCTTTCCCACTCTGACATGGTTCTGAGATATTGGGGGCTTTAGCTGAACTTCTCTCATATAACTCTACACTTTTTAATTTTTAAACTAAGTATACTTGCATATACGTCCATGCTAGATTTAAGTATTACTGTAAGATATTAAAATAATAATATTTTAAGTTTTGTAATGCTAATAACTTGATTTGACAAAAAATGTGGGATAGCCCTCTTTTCTACTGAGCCATTCAATTTTAAAAATGGATGTGAGAAATACTTCAATAAAGATAACTCTTTAGTTTTATTTTCCTACAAAATCAAGTTATACTTACATGGATCTTTTGTAATGTTTTTTTTCATAAATGCACTGTATATAATACACATTTGTAGAATTGTCTTTAACTGAGAAATAATTGTTAATGTAATTGTGTTGTAAATCCTGAATGCTGTTTGTGTATGATCTATTTGAGATTTTGAAAAATTAATTCCTGTATTTAGGGCGTCTTGTTGAGCATATGCCTACCCAGCAAAAGCATAACACTCAAAAGTCTTTGCTGCGCAAGAGTCGTTCCTCTATTATGATGAATGAAAACAACCTGACTTCTGCCGAAGTCCAGCAGGTAATGACTAAGCATTTATCTGACTTGCATAACTTTTATGTATCCATTTTCATTGTGATATAATAGAAAGAAAACTATAGTAAATAAAAAAATTGTGAATATAAACTGCAAAAGTAACTTTGTTACTTACACTAGCATTTGAGCAATATTAAATGTATATTAAAAGACATTTTTGGCCTGATTGAGCATGGTTCACTCTTATTCACTCATTTTTATCTTGATCCAATGGGAAATTGTATACTACACGCCAATGGGATCCTTTTTGAGTTCTCTGGGATTCTGGGTTGGTCAATTCATTTTTGGTAAATTATTGTTCTGTGGGATGGATCTAACTTTCTTTGAATTTCATGTGCTCTTGTTTAGATTATTTTGATCTGAGAGATATTTTAAGTGTCAGACTTCATTCATGCTGGTGCTTCGAAAATTATTGGGAGAATGAAAATTTTTAAAAGAGTGATAATTGAGGAAGGTAGTTAATCAAATCATTTTAGGAGTGCTTATCCTAATTAAATATAATATTGTATGGTCAATTAGTCAAAATATAAATTATATAAAATAAACATAATATATACGTAACATACATAACATAATATATAACATTGGACCAAGAATGACCATCATTTTCAGTATCTAAATTGTAAAATCTTTTAAAATTAAAATTTGCAACAATCCTGTAATAAATTAATCTAAAATTATTTCAAACTCTATTCATATTTTATTACTCATTCAAAATGGCATTTAACATCTTATCTCATTTGAATGCTATGGTAGATGAAGATGGAAGACTGTTTCCTGGTTATCCTTACTGTTTTCTTATAAAAATAAATTTTTATACTTTTATTCTTACTATTTTGTCAAAATAAAATTGCAAAATGTCTTATTGACTAGAAAATTGCCTTGTTGATGAGAATGGTAAAGAGTTATTGCTGAACTATTATTTTCTTATTTCTTAATATCATCATAATCATGGTTTTTGTCACTAACCTCTTCACCGCATATCAATGTTTGTTTCTTTTTTGTCCTCCTTCCATGCTGTGTCCTTTTGTGATTTTTTAGGCCCCTCTTGAAAGTTTTGCGTACTAAGTTTTGCATTGTTCATAGTCTCTCATTGGACGCCTTCTAAGAACATTCCCTTCTGTTATCAGATTTTGCATACATCCTGCACTTGTCGATGGTCTCTGTTTCTGTTTAAAACGCAGATTTGTATTCACCAGGTGTTGGAAAAATATTCCGCACCCCCTTGTGGAAATTGCATCGTGTAACACTCTCTTGGCATTCAGTTTCACATTACGTTTCAGTTTATATAATGCCAATTGGTTTGAGATTCTCTATGTTTATATAATACACAGACACACTCTTTTGCAATTATATATATTTAACAAAACAAGAACAAGTGCTCTAAGACATGTGTTGCTAGTTAAGCTAAAGACCGTGCACATTAATAAAATGTGAAAGGTCTGATGGTCTTTGCCATTATCACGCCGTAAATCCTTGATAATGTACTAGTATAATTATGTTCACATTTCCTGTGAAACTAGGTTCGGAACCAACCTCTTGGAGATAGTGCTGGTGGAAGTGTCCCTTCCAAAGATGAAAGTAGCCTTGCCGATAAGGGCAGTACTGTGATTCCCTTGGAAACTGGAGAGAAGGCACGGAAGCAGCAGTCTGTACGAGAAGATCAGGCCTTACAGAAGCAGCAGATTCTCGAGGAGTTGCAAGTGAGTTGGAGAGAGAGATGGTGAGAGGGGGAGAGAGAGATGGTGAGAGGGGGAGAGAGAGATGGGGAGAGGGGGAGAGAGATATGTTGAAAGGGGGTGGGAGAGATGGTGAGAGGGGGAGGGAGAGATGGTGAGAGGGGGAGAGAGATGGTGAGAGGGGGAGAGAGTCAAGGGCATCAAATCAGTCAAGAGAAAAGTTGCAAAATATTGTTTATGATTCATTATATAGTTGTTACTTTATTCAATTTATTTGTCAAAAACAGGTAAAACTATGCGACAGGAAAATAGAGGAATTTCTTTACTTAGGATAAGTTGAGGAATAATCTGTGAATTTGAAGAAGAATCGTTAGAAGTCAGGAACAATTTTGAGACGATTATATACCTACATTTCATTCCTTAAAAAATTTAGTTAGTGAATATTAGTGAATTTTTATTTGTGGAGAATTGTAAAAGTTTGGGGAAAAAGAGAAGGAAAAAAAGAAAAAGAAAGAGAGGGAGAGAAAAAAAAGATGATTAGAAAAATGGGACTATTCAAAAACTATTCTTTTCAGGAATGGAGGTTACTTCTAAAAATATAACTTATATTGACTAGAATAACAATACATGTTGAAATAAATTTGTGTTTAGGGAAACTATATAAGACCCTTAGAATTAAAATCCATGTCGAATGAAAGAATCTGTCAATTAATACATTCATAATACCTTGTGCAAGTGTCTAACTTGTTAAATCTAAAAATTTGAAATTCAAAAGCTTCTGTGTTCTGTGCTAAGTAAAGAGAAGATAGAATCACCTCTCCTGAGTTAATATGTATAATGTGTTATCAACTAGCAAATCTATGCTGAGGATTTGCCAATTAAATATTTGTGTGATTTACATACAATCGTATGTTTCACAATAATTTTGCATGAGACAGTTCATTTAACCTTACTGTTTGTGGAAATTATACATTTATATATGACAATATGTTGGCACGAGGCCATGTTAAACAGTTGTAAAGTTATGGTGTTTCTCTGAATGGCATTCAAGGAAAATAATTCAAAAATGTGTGTGCCTGTTTGTGAGTTTGTAGTGTAGGAAGGTGATTGTGGTAGTTGAAAGTGGGTAGTTCTAACTTTTGGTGCGTGGTGTGCCCTAGCCGCGCGCTGCGTGTGTGCAGAGGGTGGAGCGGGAGCTTCAGGAGAAGGGCCCCTCCTCTCAGCTGCTGCTGACGTCCCCTGCTCCAGAGGGCTCTGCCCCATTGGGCTCTGCCCCATTGGGCTCTGCCCCATTGGGCTCTGCCCCATTGGGCTCTGCCCCATTGGGCTCCGCCCCATTGGGCTCCGCCCCATTGGGCTCTGCCCCATTGGGCTCTGCCCCATTGGGATCCCTGGGCCTTGTGCCCAGCCTCAACATTGATCTGGCCTCTCAGCCTATGCCTGCACAAGGTGAGTGCTTTTCTCTTTTTGCCCCCAAGACAACTATGAAACTGACAGAATCCACATTTCTGCACTTGATCGTGGGATGTGTTGTTTTTTACTGAGCTGGTGGTTTCTTCATGACTCATCCACCTTTTGCAAATTCTTCATCAAACCTTGCACATTCGTCATTGATATACACTGAATAATTTGAAGATTGAATATGTGTTTCTTGAGTTCTTTTAATGAATGCTTGTTAGGATGGTAGTAATTGGTAAATTTTTCTGAGAACTTTGGCTTAGGGAAGTGCAAAAATATCTGTCACTTTTGTATACAAGTAGAAGTTAACAAGTAGATTATAAACCTATTTTGCAGTGTCTGAACAGAAGTAGTGGATTTGACTCGCTTGATTACGATGCGTTTTAATCTGACTCCTATAGAGAAATATTAAAATTAACCATCATATAATATATTTGTCTAATAAAACAAATTTGATTAAAAATAATAAATTTGATTTGGATGACCTGGAGTTGTATTAGTTTTTACTTGATCTGAAAATGTTGAGGAATGGCTAGGATTTGCAACTATAACCAAATTTCAGATTTGTGTGTTTATTTGTGAAGTAGTTATTAACATTAAATACAATTTTAGTTAATCTAAATTTATGCAAGATATCAAGTGCTAATTTTTACAATTTTGATTTAAAATTACTTTTTAAGCAGATATTCGTATGAAACCCTTTCAGGGTTCAGAAAGGCAATGGTAATTAAAAAAAGATAGCAAAAAAGACTGCAAAATTAATTGGTTACCAAACTACCAGTCTTTCCACAACTTAATGTGAAATCCAAGTGTAAGCCTTACGGTTTGCTCTCTGAAGTTTCACTTAAAAAACTAGTGATGCTACAACAGCACAAACTGTCTTGCATTTGTAACTTTTCCTACTTATTTCCAACTGACTTGTCCAAATAATTTCCAACTGATGGATGGACGGATACACTGACAGTCATAGAGACTCCCAGGACTTGTAATATAGAGTTAATATGGAGCAAATAAATTATTATAATATTATTATTGTTATATTATTGTTATTATTATATTATTATTATTATATTATTATTACATTATTTTATTATTGTTATTATTATTATTATTATTATTATTATTATTATTATTATTATTATTATTATTATTCATGAACCAATTGTTTAGAATAAGGTACCCATTAAATGTGGATTCTGATTAGAGGAAGTTATATTCTACATGTAGGAGCAATAATTATCAATTTTTTGCTGTTGGTGCCACAAATTTAATTTTTCTTTTAAAAAATATTCATTTTCCACTGCACCTTTACTGTTTGGACTACATAAGTAGAATTCAAGGAAAAATAACTGAAATTCATTTATATTGCATAGTTTAATAATTAAACAAATAATTTAGAACTTTATTATTTCTTATGTCATTATGCAAGTTGTATGGTCTCTCAACTCAGTCAAACTTCAAATGGAATGTACATATATCAAAATTAAACACTAAATTAAGTTCATTATGTTACACATTCAGAGTTCTATCAAATTTTGTCAGCTTTCATGCAGCTCGTTGCATGTAATTTTGCAAATGTACATTTATTATATGTAGGAGCAAGTATACCGCATGAGATATGGTATACAATTCTGGGGAAATTCATCATGTAGTACTCAGACCTTTAGATTGCAAAAGGAAATTATTCGCATAATGAAAAAATGGCATCAGCATTACCCCTGGAAGCCCTTGAGCTTGGAATATTTCCACTGCCTTGCCTATATATTTACAAAATAGTTGTCAAAAGTGACTTACTTAACAGTGAGAACATATTTTCATGCAATACTGATATTTATAATTTCAACACACATTGTAAAAATCACATTCATCAAATGTCAAAGTCAACAGCTCAATATCAGAAATCCACATACAATACATATATGTTACTTTACAATGTACTGAAAGATGACGTTAAACAATTGAAGTTGCTTCACAAATATCAGTTAAAAGTTAATCTTTTCTGCTGCATAACTGTTTTACGCGGCGATGTTGTAACAGTTAGCGTACCGAACTGTTGTAACAAAGATGGTGGGTTCAATCCTGATTGAAGCCATGGATTTTTAAGGGCGAAAAAATCCTTCGTACGTCTTCCTTCGGAGGGGAAGTACAGCCAGCTGTCCCATGTTAGTAGCTTTACTTGCATGTAAAAGATCCTCAAGCCTAAATGACGCTTCTGAGCTAAATTCAAATCACCTGTTACTCGCCCAAGAAATACCTCCTTTTTTCTGCTCGTTGTTGAAAGGAGCGTAGCGAAATTTGCGTTGTCAGACGGAAGAGCAGGCCTCATGGCCTGAGTCTCACCACGTAAAATAAGGCATTAATTCAATTCAATTCAATTCGAGACTATACTGATTATCAAAAAGAAAAATAATGTTTATTTTAAAAAACAGTGGTATATACTGAATTAGTTTACATTTGTATTGTATACTTTTTTTTAAAAGACTTAATATGCTTGTATCAAATAATGTACTTCTGCTTCTGGGTCAGTGACCACCATCTCGATCAGGTTTTTGTCCAGTTTCCCTGATCCATTGAGCAAATGCTGAGATGGCCCCTTGGTTTGCTTCTGGAAGTAAATGTAGCTTCAGTATGCTCATGTTTTGTTGAACTCTCCTTTTGCTTGTAATGGTAAGAGTAGACGTAAGGGCGAGTTTCTATTTTGTTAGCAATGCAGAAAATCATACTTGCAATTCGTGTACCGATGCAAATAAGTTTTCTATAACTCTGAAACTAAAATTACTATTTTTCAAATATTGCTAATTTGGGGATTTTTAAAATTTATTTTTATTTATTTATGTTAAACTTTTATTCATCTTTCCATTATGTATAGTTAAAATGACAGGAAGGGATTCTGGAACTCAAGAAAACGTGCGCAAATAATCTTCTCCACCCTATGCCACATACAGTTTTTTACTGTTTTTTGACTAAATAAATCTAAATGTAAATCAAGTTAACTTGTTGGTACTGTGTTAGACTCAATTTGGCCGAAACCTATCTTAAGAACTTTTACCTTGTGACCTCAGATAGTTCACAGCTCTAAAGAAAATGGATGGGAGGCTTAATATTGTGGCTCTAAAGAAAGAAGGCTTAGAATTATGTGCTCATGAAACTCTGTTGAGATTGATTTTTTTATCTAAAAAATTACTGTAGAAAATATTAATTAATTTGAAAATATATTTAGTACAACTTGGTTGCCCTACCAATTATTTTTATATCCTAGTGTACTATTAATTTTTGGTGAAATTAGGATAATGTACATAATGTCTCATTGAACAGTTTTTCCCACTTTTGTTTACCAATAATTCTTGTAAAAATGCATCAATTAATGGTACTTGTCTTATTTTTATACACACAAAATTCATTAATGAACTACCGTAAAAAATATTATTGAAATTTTGTAATAAGTTTTGTATTGCATTTATCTTATTTCTAGCTTTTTGTTATTTGATGGAACAAAGAGTCCATGGATTTAGCAGGCTATATTTCATATTTTTGTACATATGACAAGAGCATATATTGAAAGATTAAGGGAAGCACATTTTAATTTTAGACTAAACTATTTCCAAACTTAGATTTTCCCTCTATAGCTGAAGAGCGAATGCCCAAAAAACATTAAACTATGATTCATGTAATCATGGAATAGAACAGACATTTCAATTCTACATGTTACATTGTGCTGTTAAATACATATTTCTCTACAAACTTACACACTGCAAATGTGCAGAAATCCTTTTAAGTTTTCATTTTCAGACAATGATCAATTTGCTCTCGCTGCACAACTCTTGTAATCTGATGAATAATGCACAAACAGTGCAAGGACATGGGGACCAAAAAATCAACACTTAATAGGTATCCATAAGATATTAATTAGAGTAACTTTCACTGTGAATAAAACAATCGTATACACCAAGTGTATCCTAGACCATGATTGTGAATAAAGTGACCTGCATATAGTACACTTAAGCCTAAAGTTTTGTACAAATGACATTTTAAAAAGAGTTAAAAAAACAAAAGAAAATAGTTGTAAAAGATTTCAATGTGTTTTTTGCTTGACAATTTCAACCTTTAGTTTTTTTATGGTTCCACTGTATTTAACTGTAATGAATGAAAAGCCCCATTAGAAGGGGTTGAAACTTTGATGGATGTTTCATGTGCAACAGGTATGGTGTGTGCTCCGGGCATGCCCGGCACGCTGTTCCATCAGGGCACCAACCACTCTCTCTCAGTCCACAACTCATTTTACACAGGCGGAAAGGGCCAGCTGCCAACTCTGACCGCCACTTGTGCGAGCAACGGTACTGCGTGTCTGCAGCAGAACCAGGTATCGGCTACACCCCCCAATGGAGAGGGGTTTGTTTCAGCGGCAGCCTCCTATCCTCCTCCACCTCCTACCACGCAGCCTGCGGCGCATTCTCAACCAGTCAGCGCCACTGCAGATGTGGTTCAGGTGAGTTGTGCTTGATTAGATTATATATCATCCCTAAGATATATACTGTCTCAGTTTTAAATATTTTGTTGGTGTTTATTTAGAACAACTTGTACTGTTAGATATACAAAGTTGTTTTTGACAAGGCAGTGTACTATTACTTGGAAGTAACTGTTGGTATCTTCCTAGAATTATTATTTTTAAGTATATTTACTTAAAGTAACTGGTAATTTCTTACATCTCAAATTTATTTTTACAGGCTACGGCAATCAGTGACCGGCCTAAAGCCAAACCCGTTTCCAAAAAAGAGGGCAAAACTCTCCGCAAGCTGCAGCAACAACAACAATTATTACAAATGCAACAGCAAGCCCAACAGCAAGCCCAACAGCAAGCCCAACAGCAAGCCCAACAGCAAGCCCAGCAGCAAGCCCAGCAGCAAGCCCAGCAGCAAGCCCAGCAGCAAGCCCAGCAGCAGGCTCAGCAGCAGGCTCAGCAGCAGGCTCAGCAGCAGGCTCAGCAGCTGGTTCAACAGCAAGTTCAACATCAGGTGCAGCAGCTACAGCAACAGCTACAGCAGCAGCAACCTCAATCTCAACCACAGCAGCTGCAGATTCAGCAGCAGCTGCAGGCACAGCAGCAGCTGCAACCACAGACTCAGTCACTTCTTGTGCAGCAGCAAGCACCTCCACAGCAGCCATCTCAACAGCTCTCCCATCAACCTCAACAGCAAGTGCCCCTGCAGTCTCCAACTCAGATTCAGCCATCCACCTTGCCAGCTGTGCAGGCCCAGCCCCAACAGCCATCACAGCAGCAGCTGCAGCTGCAGGTGCACCAGATACAACAAGCTCTGCAGCAGCAGCAGCAGCAGCAGCCACAGCAGCTACAGCCACCCCAACAGGTGCAGTTCCATCAGCTGCACTTCAGCCCTCAACTGCAGCCTCAGGTAGTTGTATTCTATCTACATTTATTTTTTTAAATTGGACCTGTGTGCTTCTGTTTCTCTTTTTCTGTTTTTATTCCCCTTTAGTAATTATTAGTTTTTATTGGCAGTTCTTCCTCGTTGATTTATAGTGTATTTGTTATTGTGTGTATTTGGTGTGTAGACTGTACTTCTGGAGGACTTCGTATATGAAAGTGAGTGTGTAAAGGAAGGTCTCTGTTTCAAAAAGTGTGTGGTATTGTTCATTTAGTGACTATTTGATTCTGCTTCAGAGTAATGAAATAGTTTTGATTATCTTGATGTGCAGGAGGGAAAAATATTCACTTTTATGTAAAAGTTCTATTTTTAAAAGCAGGGTCAACATACTTAGTAGGGTATAAATGGACCATGCAAAAACCTTATTTGATACAATTTTGTGAAACTGAGCACTTTTGTTTATATGAAATTAGGTTTTACAATTCTCCTTCCCCTCCCCAAAGACCGAATGTTAAAAATTTAATTTAAATTAGTTTTGCAGGAAATAGTTAAATAAAAATAGAGTTCATGAAATAAACATGTGAAAGGTTTTGAAAGTCCCAAAGTTCAAAACTGTAATTTGCAGGATGTGTTCCTTTTCCCCTTCACAGTCCTGAGAAGCAAATGGTAGGGTTATCTCAGTGGGTCAAGTGTAGCTAAGGGCTATGTAGGAAGGGAAGGCAATATGTAGTGGTGTGCCAGGTGCTGCATCAGGTGGCGCCAGAATGCGAGGAGCAGCAGCATCAGCAACATCAGCATCAGCAGCATCCACAGCAACAGCTGGTGCAGACATCGCCGCCGCACATGAACACCTCTGTCCTGAAGCGCAGCCTGCCTCTGCCTCTGCCTCTGCCTCTGCCCGTGCCCCCCACGCCCAGCCACTTGCTGGTGCAGCTGCAGCAGCTGGATGCAGCTGCGCTGCCTGGCCCCTCCGCTTCCCATGTGCAGATGCAGAAGCACCTGCCTGCGCGTTGCCTGCAGCAGCAGGTGTGTGTGTGCGTGCAAGTGGTCGTTGTACTGGTAGTTCCTTGAAAGAGCTGGGAGTGAGAGTTTATTATATTGCAATCGCTTTTTATTAAGCAAGAATATGTTTTATTAATTAATTAATTAATTAATTAATGTATTTATTTTTGGAAAATTTGAAGAGAGGGAAAATATGTATTGTGAAAATTGTTGAAGTTGTTCTCTTAACATACTTATTCTTTCAAATTAAATATTCAGATTTTTGTTTTACAAAATCAACTTCAGTATATTGGAACAATTGCACATTAATATTCTTTAATTCTGTAAAAATTCAACTACTATTCTGAAATATTGACTGAAGTTCGTTTATTAAGTATGTCGATAAATCATATGTGATTCCTATATTATATTCTTAAAAATTATAATTCGCAGCTTCAATGTGTTATTTTCCAAGATTTGGTTGTGTTTGAAAATTGGATTTTATATTCAGATGTGAATGTACTCTGGACATTGGATACACATTGAAGAAATTTATGAAGTGATGACTAAATAGTTAATTTTTTTTTAGTTTATTAAAAAATATGTTGTAATATGTTAATTGCAAGTTATTTCACCTCTCCATAATTGTCACTGTGATAGTAAGGGTGTACATATTTATTAATGAAAGCATTTCTTGAATGCAAAATCATTGATTGTTCACTTCAATGGATACTTCTGCTTTCTCAACTTGGCGTTGGGTTGTGTTTTGTGAGTGTGTGTGTGTTTGTAGGTAGGTGTGTACTGCTAATTGTGTGTAATTGTAATTCTCTGTGTGTGTGGTGTAAATGAAATTGTGTGTGTGTGGTGTAAATGAAATTGTGTGTGTGGTGTAAATAGAATTGTGTGTGTGTGGTGTAAATGAAATTGTGTGTGTGTGTGTGTGTAAATGAAATTGTGTGTGTGTGTGGTGTAAATGAAATTGTGTGTGTGTGTGGTGTAAATGAAATTGTGTGTGTGTGTGGTGTAAATGCAATTTTGTGTGTGTGTGTGTGTGGTGTAAATGCAATTGTGTGTGTGTGTGTGGTGTAAATGCAATTGTGTGTGTGTGTGTGTGTGTGTGTGTGTGTGTGGTGTATATGAAAATGTGTGTGTGTGTGTGGTGTAAATGAAATTGTGTGTGTGTGTGTGGTGTAAATGAAATTGTGTGTGTGTGTGTGGTGTAAATGAAATTGTGTGTGGTGTCAATAAAATTGTGTGTGGTGTCAATAAAATTGTGTGTGTGGTGTCATTGAAATTGTGTGTGGTGTCAATAAAATTGTGTGTGTGGTGTCATTGAAATTGTGTGTGTGGTGTCATTGAAATTGTGTGTGTGGTGTCATTGAAATTGTGTGTGTGGTGTGTCATTGAAATTGTGTGTGTGGTGTGTCATTGAAATTGTGTGTGTGTGTGTGTGTGTGTGTGTGTGGTGTGTCATTGAAATTGTGTGTGTGTGTGTGTGTGTGTGTGTGTGTGTGTGTGTGTGTGTGACTGTATGTGGGAAATAGTAATTCTGTGTACCTGTAGCAGTGTGTATGCATGTGGACATGTGCAAGCATGCTTTTGTATGGGTTGTGTTGTGTTGCTTTATGTGTTGTGTATGCAGAGTTGGGCAGTGTCGAAAATTCTTGTGTTTAAAATACGTGTTTTTGATACTTCTGTTTTGTATTGAAAATTCATATTTGGTCATGTATTTTGTATTTGTATCGAAAATACTTTCTGATGATATTTTGAAAATACAAAAATACTTTTTATTGATTGGCTGTTGAACATTTGAATGTAAATATACAGACAAACCTGGAAAACACAAAAATCAATAACATTAATTTTTTATATTTTGAAGCAAATTTTCATTTCAGATGGAAATTGATAAATCATCAAATGTGCTATTCTAGATGGAACGTAATTCACTGATATTGAAAAGCTAGGTTCCTACACTGTGTGCACAAATTTTAAGACACACTTAAAAGCAAAAATAATAAGCAGTAATTTTATAAATTTTAAATGCCTTCAATGATGTAATAGACTATGAATTTCACTGGTCATTCTTTTTACTGAGGAACTGTTAATGTATTTTCACATTTTAGAGAATTCCTCTTGGTGTGATGAGTGAAGTAGAGAACTATAATACTGAGTGGTCCAGAAGGTCAAATTCACATAGAAGTAAAATGAAAGGCACTGAGAAAAGTGTCACTAATTCCAAAAAGTTAGAACAAGTTAACAACAGAATTTTCTAATAAAACAAGTTTAACATCTGGTTTCTTCAAAATGCAGGAAAAAGGAAACTATCAAACAAAATTTGATCTTGCTACAAAATTCGATGATAATGTAATGAGACCCTTATTCATTACAATTACAAGAAGAAACATTAGTGATACAATGTTTGGAAAACTAGTAATCTTGAATTGTCTAAAATTATAAACCACAACCAAGATTTGAGAAATAAATTATAAAACTAGATCACTATTGGTTCTTTTTTGTGTTTTCAAAAGCATTTTAAAATACTATTTTGTATCTAAAATACTTTTATTTTGTATTTCAAATGCTTTTTTTAAGTATTTTGCCCAACTCTGTGTGTATGTGTATATAGAGTGAAAGTTTTTGGGGTGTCAATATTAGAAAAATTGTGTTCGTTTTTGTTATGCCTTCTGACCATTAAATTTGTATTTATTTGGCATTTTATGCTCTTCCTTTACTGAATGTTTGTATTGACCTTGTGTTATGTTTATGTGGCAGAGAAATAACACATTTGCATGCTTTGATATCTTCAGCTATTTTTGAGGAACTATCAGTACAGTGAATCTAAATATGGGTGGAATAGTTCGGTTAATGCTTTAAAACTTTCATTGACTATTTAATAGTGTGATTTTTTCTAATAAAACAACTTGGTCTTGTTTGTTGTTAGATTCGTGTGCAAATTCTTACATTTAGAGTAAGCAAGTGCTTCTGCTAAATTTCTGAATGTAATCCTAACATACATCCTTTTCACAAGTCCTTTTCCGTCTTGTAATCAAAGTAATACACCTTATTGAAGATGGTGTTCCCTCAACTTTTGCATGCTATCATTGTTAGTAGGTTTTAGATGAAAGAACTACTGACATGATTGCATGATCTGCTTCTATATTTTGTTTTTTGGATTGTTTGAAGTATTTGTTTAGATAATTCTGCTCAACTAACAGTGAGCCATCTACAATTGTTCTTGTGTGTGTGTGTGTGTGTGTGTGGGCGCGCGCAACATGGCTTTGTAACTCATTGAAAGGGAGTAGGAAGTAATGAAGATTCCTCTTTGTCAGATCATCCCTCCATCAGCCATTGAGCACACAGATCTATCTGGTCTCCTAGCTGACCAGCAGCAGCGGTGCCAGTTATTTGCAGCAGCTGCAGAAGAAGCCCTTGCTGAGGTTGAGAAACCTAGTAAAGTAGATGAAACTTCGAGAATTGAACTGGAAGAAGCCATGGATGAAGTTGCCCAGACCTTGGGGGGCATTACTCTGGATGATGTTGCATTAGGTGTGTATGATTACCTTTTTATTGCTCAAAGAAGTTTTGGTAAAACAAGCTATATATTCTGAATCAATTGTTCTTTTGGAAATGAAAGGGAAAAAATTGCTTGACAAAAATGAGTATGAGAACATATATCTAAGATCTTCAAAGATTATTTTTCTGCATTTGCTTTTGCATCGAGTAGTTTGATTCAATGAAGGTTGGGTTGTGCAGCTGCTGCTGCTGAGCGTGAAGAATTGAAACTTCTGCAAGCACAGCAGTTAGGTGGGAGCCAGGCTGTTCTGGAGGAAGCCATTTCTGTTATGACAGCTTCCCAGGCCCCTGTGCAGGTTGGCTCTGCACACACTGATGTAGCCAGGGTGGAGTACTTTGCTGTACCTTCCTCAGGGGCCCAAATTCCAGCATTACAAGTGAGTATTAGAAATTTGTTCCTAACTATTTTTCCTCTCCCTACATTCCTCCCTTTCTCACCCTCCCTGTCTTTTTCTTTCTCCCCGTTTCTTTCTTTCTCCCCGTTTCTTTCTTTCTCCCCGTTTCTTTCTCCCTCCCTGTCTCTTTCTTTCTCCCTCCCTGTCTCTTTCTTTCTCCCTCCCTGTCTCTTTCTTTCTCTCTCCCTCTGTCTTTATATCCCCCTCTCTGTCTCTCTCCCTGTCTTTATATCCCCCTCTCTGTCTCTCTCCCTGTCTTTATATCCCCCTCTGTCTCTCTCCCTCTCTTTATATCCCCCTCTCTCTCTCCGTCTTTATATCTCCCTCTCTGTCTCTCCCTCCCTCCCTCTGTCTCTCTCTCCCTCCCTCTGTCTCTCCCTCCCTCCCTCTGTCTCTCTCTCCCTGCCCTCTGTCTCTCTCTCCCTCCCTCCCTCTGTCCC